CACTCAGACCACAACTGTCGTGTTAGGAATATACAATACGATTACGACGGCAGTAACTATTATAGATAGCAATGTGGTCCTTTCAAAATTAAGTGAAACTTGGGTTGTTACTGTTGACCCAGGAACTTATATGCTAGCTTTTGAAGACACTACTAGTTCTGTCGTATTCTCGAACACATTTACTATCAAGGCTGCTAGTTCAAGTACTACCGGTAGTACAGGTATTGGTTCAAATACTGGTTCAGGCTATCCATCCTCCTATTCATATTCACCCTCTTCAGGTAATAATTTAACATCCTCGTAATTGCACAGGCCAATAGCAGGCCCGATATGTTAGAGATGTGTTGTGGTCACTCGAACTCGATTAATTCATTGGCATTTATATTTTATAACATGTAGGAACGTCGAGCAATGATTCTAGTAGCAGCAGCAGCCTTGGTACTTCTAAAACTATTATAATCGTCATAGCCGTTGTAGCTGTTGTTGTTCTTGTCGTAGCCGGTGTAGGAGGATACTTTTTCTTAAATAGAAATAAGAAGAATAAAGATGCGAATAATGAAATGCTTTGGAATGATAGCAATCCTCCTAACTATGATAATTATCAGACTCAGAATAATTATCCTATTAATACTCAGAATGATTATTCTATTAAGGATACTAATAGTTATCCCGTTAATAATCAGACTAATTATCCTATTAATAATCAGACTAATTATCCTATTAATGATCAGAATATTTATCCTAATAACCAGAATGGTTATCCTATTAATAATCAGAATATCTATCAATTCTCAAAATAATTACTTATAATACAGTTGGTTAGTAGTGTTAAAACTCTCAATTTTATAAAAAAAAATAAACTTTTTTTTTTATACAAAATTTAATGAAATTTTTTTTACGTATGAAAATAAACGTATTATATAGTTATTAGGTGTGTAGTGAACAATGATTAATATTATTTAAATACAAAAATGTATTACTTTCTTCTACAATAAAATATTTATTTGTATTTATAAAAAACATTTTGAATTTTTCTAAAATATAATAAGAATTTTTATAATTTT